GAGAGAGAGAGAATGAAGAACCAAGCACTGGTAGGACCATAGGCTCAAATCAAATAACACAATGTTATATTTTAACCTGAGCTAAACACAAGAAGAAACAATCCTCCCTCCTCCCTCCTCAGGGAAAAACAATAAATTATATCCAGCAGTGTATTTCCTTCACTCATGAATGGAGAAGCAAACTACACAGGCACTTACGTGAAGCCTGCAGCTGAGTAAGGTGGGGCAGAAAGATGGCAGTGAGAATGTAGGTGCTACAGTCTAGAAAGCCCTCTGCAGCTGGGGGCAAGGGATGGGGTGTAGTGGCACAGGGTGCCCTGCCTTGATGGGCAGTTCTCCATCCTGACTGTCAGGCTGGTCAAGCAAGTGTCTACCCGTGACAAATATTTAAAAGGAGTGCAGGTAAACTCTGGCCAACTGGAAGGAGTAAGGCCTGTACCTGGGACCCAGTTCCTGCTTTGAATAAAGCACTGTAGCCAGGGTAGATGTGACCACCCAGAGACAGGGACACTGCAGGGCAGCTCTGCAATAATTTTTTTTGTACCGGGGTTCAAACTCAAGACCTTGCAATTGGGAGGCAGGTGCGGTGCCTCTGAGCTAACTCCCTGGCCCAGCTCTGCACTATTTTTGCAACACCTTTTGAACCATAATTAGTTCAAAATAAAAAGTTTAAAATAAATTCAAATAAAAAAAAAGAAAGAAAAACCTTTAGCAAGGGCCGAGGTTAGAGGATCATACAAGTTCAAGAGGAAGAACAAGCTTTCTTTCCAGAGGCTGCCCTGGTTAATGCCTCAAAGCCACCTCACTATGAAGCTATGTATTTTGTTCCAAAGGCAGGAACTTATTTTGTTTTGTTTCGTTTGTTTTGGGAAGAATATTGATAATAGTGGAGTTTTGTGGTAACCTGAAGACATATGAAAAGGCAGCCAAAACCCTGGCATGCTACAGTTTTCTGTTTCAAAATAATTACTGACTTCCTGAAAACTGCCTATTGTAATAATTTCCCTTCCCACAGTGTGTGTGTGTTGGGGGGAGGATATTGCATAACTCATTTATAATGATACCCCCCCAAAGCACTTAGAACACAAAACAAACGGCTCATTCAAGAGGGGTTGCATAAGCCAGACTACATGGTGACAGTGTAAATGTCAAAGGGATGGTGCTCTTACTGCTAAGCATCTTCCACACAGGCTTTAATGCCTGCTTCATTCAGAGACACTGTGTGTGTGTGTGTGTGTGTGTGTGTGTGTGTGTGTATGAGAGAGAGAGACAGAGAGAGAGAGAGCTCAGCTCAGACAAGGAGTAGTTGGAAAATTAAAAGCTGATCAGAAATCCTTTATAAGATCCATAGGATCCCAGGGTAAGACTTTTGACCTGAGAAGTCTACTCAGCCACCAGAAAACAGGAATAGCTATTAAGTCCTCCAAAGCAACAGTCAAAGCTAGCCAGTTTACATTTCACCCAGTCTGCAAATAAGGACAGTATGAGACAGATGCAAAGATTTTCTCATCAGTGACAAGAAGGTATGATTTTTTTCTGCTGTGGTCCTTAAAAATACCAGGAGGGGGCCTGGCGATTTAGCTCAGTGGCATCGAGCCTGCCTCGTAAGCCCAAAGTCTTGAGTTCAATCCCTGGTACAGGGAGAAAAAAAAAAAAAAAAGAAAAAAGAAAAGAAAGAGCCAAGGATTTAGCCCAGTGGTTCTGCTGCCTGCCTCGTAAACCCAAGGTCCCGAGTTTGATCCCTGGTACCAAAAAAAAAAAAGGCCAGGGATCTAGCTCAGTGGTTCTGGCACCTGCTTCAAAAGCACAAGGACCTGAGTTTGATCTCTGGTACAAAAAAAAGAAAAAAGAAAGAATACAAATTTGGGCTAGGGATTTAGCTCAGTGTCACCACGCTTGACTTCCAAGCACAAGGTCCTGAGTTTGGTCCCAGTACCAAAAACAAACAACCAAACAAACAAACCCTGGAGCTCTAGGCAAAGCTTCAGGAGGCCGGCCTGCCTGCCCAGAAACTCCATGGATTCTAGGTCAGGTAAACCTAAGCCAGGCACTGTCCCTGATGTATTTAGCATTTATATTCAACCATGAGAGTCAGGCCACTGGCTATTTAAACAAGAATAACAAGAAGCTGAACAAGTTAAAATCCAAAGCATTAACTTGTCAATCTCAGTGTTAACCTAGAGCTTTTGATGTATGGGTGGGCCCTCAGGGCGACTCCTTTTTATTTTTTAGGTGGTACCTGGCTTTTCTCAGTGCTTTTTGGTACAGTACAAGAAAATTATCAAAGGGATAAGCCATGAAGAAAGCAGATTACCCACCTGGCTTTATTTTTCAGCCCTTTCATCTCCTATATCTCAAAGTTTCTCAAACAGCAGAGTGTGAGGGCTCTCTAACTAACTGGACAGAGAGTGGTGCCCAGTGAACATGGTGACCTACAGGCTCTGGGAGTGGGACACAAAATTCTCTTTCTCTATGGGACCAGAAGCTTCCAGAGGCCTGGAGGGAGTGTATTCATTCTTCACAGATACTAGGAGCCAGCAGAAGACTCAGAAGCAAAGGCAGACAGGGATGGGTGGGGTCTGCATAGCACGGTACAGAAGAAAACTCTCTTCTCTCCCAGCTAAGAGCTGGAGGCAACACTGTGCCCCTGGCTCTCAGCACACCCAAGGAGCTCAAAGTGTATCTCCGCCCAATCCCAACAACTCAGTGATAAGGATTCTGAGGCTTCTCCCTATATGAAATCTGTTTTTATACACTCTGAGCTTTTTTCTAAATTGCAGCTGCTGTTGTTGGATTCCATATAAAGAGGGAGTCAGAGACATTCAAAGGGTATTTTACTAATTCCAAGATGAAGCATCTGCAAATTGGACAAATTGGACAAATGATATCCCTCGCATCCGAGTGTCTATTAGTCCATTTGATAGGTCAGGAATGACCCACTGCTGGTAGGCAAGACAGAGGCTTCTGAAACTTCCAACCAAGGGACAGCATGCGTTCTCTATGCCGGCAAAATCCAAGGTGAGAGCCAGGCCTACATGGTGCCACACTCTTGTAATCCAGCAGCGAGGGAGGCTGAGGCAGGGGGTATTCAACAGTTCAAGTCCCACTTGGGCCATTTATGGACACCTTGCCTCAAAACAAAAAATAAAAAGGGTTGGGGATGTAGTTGAGCGGCAGAGAGCTCCTGGGTTGGATACCTAGTACTGGAAAAAAATAAATCCAGGGCTGGGGATTTAGCTCAGTAGCACTGCACCTGCCTTGCAAGCACAAGGGCCTGAGTTCGATCCCCGGTACAAAAAAAAAAAAAAAAAAAAAA